GTCCCTGCTTCTAAAGGACAATCCTGGGCTCACTGGTAACTGGAATCCTGCTCTTTTTCTGCCCAATTCAGGTGCCACCTGCTCCATCGAGTCCCTCCTGGGCATCTCAATCTGGTGACACCTCAGGGTCCTCCAAAAGCCCACAGTACCTGTTCTCTGCACCAGGACTTCACAAAACATGTTGTTTTAAACTGCATGGGGGAAATCCAATTGTTAAAATTTCTAATCTGTCAGAGATCACTAGCCTTCGTAAACGATAAGAAAAGGGAATTACTAAGCCAGGTGTGGTGGCGTGTGCCTGTAGTGCCAGCTACCTGGGGGCCGAGGTGGGAGGACTGCAGTGAGCTATGAACGTGCAGCTGCACTGTGGCCTGGGCAACAGAGCGAGACCCTGTCTCTTTAAAAAAGTGAATCACTAGAAAAATGATTGCAAAAAATAGACACAAAATACTGGCCCTATGTTTTATTATTACCTTCAACAGAAATAACATTACTGTCCAGTTACTATAAACGTTTTTAAACATTATTGATTTCTGTGCAGACCCCATCATGCCTGTTTAGTAATATATGAATGCACGGTTCCCTCTCATTTGTCACCTCCCACAGGACAGCCGTCAGCTCCCAGGAGAAACGAGTTCTAGGAGTGGACTGTAAGGAGAGGGGGTCCTCCAGACCTCGCCAGGCCCCAGGGATGGCCTGAGAGCAAGAAACTCAGACGGTTGTTGAGAGTAAAAACCCAGACAAAGCTCAGTTGGGGTCTCGCTCATTTGGGACTAAGGTGGGCACGACGTCTGACCTGCCCCCACTAAGAGATGGAGAGGTGCCGTCCGCAGATAGATGCCTGGAGAGTATGGCCCCCAAGGCAGCGAAAATTGTTTTTATTTGGTAGGGAGGTAGGGTGGAGAGATAATCTTATTGTTTTTATGTAGAAAAAACCACACGTTCTCATCTAGTATATAAACAGATATTCAGTTTGTGGTATTAAAATTTCACAGGGGTGACGATTAGGAAAAAATGTTTAAAAGGTTTGGGGGAAGGGGGCCCATGATAATAAAAAAATAAAAAGGCTGAGAAACACTGAGATGCTAAATATGTTCTCATGTGGTGGTCTTTTATGGGTAAAAAGTGGTTTCGTTGGCTGCCTGGGGAACCGAACTAAACCATGTACATGTATGTGGATTCTAAGAGACTAGACTACCTGCTGAGTTCCAGATTTCTTACACACAAGTGGCCCTTTGAAATGGGCTAGTTTGTAAGGGGAGGATTACCTGTTATAAGCACAGCTCTTTCTGTCAACGTGGAACGTGGATTGCTTAGAGCAATACGGTCAGCACTATGATGGAAGTAGGTGCCAGGAAATTTTAGTTTACTGTCTTCCCCTCCCTGCCCCTGTGCTGGCAAGGTAAAGAGCTTTTACTGAATTTGATCATGGAGTTAGTCGTGAGTTAGTTTACTCAACATTGTTGAGCGCTTACTAAATGTTGAACATTCTGGTAGGGTCTAGAGATTATGCTGTCCAATATGATAGCCATTAGCCACCTGTGGCTATTTAATTCGAGGTTAATTAAAATTAAATAACATTAAAATTCAGTTCCTCAGTGAACTGGCCACTTTTTCAAGTGCTCACTAGCCACATGTAGCTTGTGGCTACTCCACTGGACAGCACAAATATAGAACATGTCCATCATCGGGAACCTCTATTGGGCAGTGTCGGAGAGAGCAAGTAGGGAATAGTGGTTAAGAATGTGGCCTGTGGGGTCACCTGTGTTGGGATTCTAGCCCCACCACTCACCTCACCAGCTTTATGATCATAGTATATGGATTGGCCCTCCTGAGCTACAGCTTTGTCCTCTTTAAATGGGGATTATACTGCCTGCCCCCTAGAGTTATAATGAGAATTAAAGATGATGCATTTACATGCAGTCAGTGCTCAATATAGTGTCTGTTGTCATCATTATCATTATTTTTATTATAATTATCACCCTCATCATTATGGATATAATTGGCAGGTGGGGTGTTTACAATAATCCAGACAGACATTTTATAGTCATTAAGTTTTGTAATGTTCCTATTATAGAGGTTTTCAAAGATTAGGCTGTTACCCTGTATTTGTTCCCTCCCTTTATGGTGGTCACCACCAAGAGCCTGGATTTGGGGACCAGCTGTGCCCCCGATCATTGATGACTAGAGAGGGAGAGGGGTAACTATAGAGTGCAGAGAAGTATGATTGTTGACGAGTAAATTTCTGATATCTCCAGGAAAAGTGTAGGACGGAGGTGGATTAGAGGAATGGGAACTAAAGCCCTTCCTTAAAGTGACTGCAAGATAGTTGCTGTGCCGCAACAGAGAGGAGCTGGCTGACTGCTCAGGGATGCATTTGTTTAAGATGTTTCCACCACGAATCTCATTATTATGAAGCCTTTTATTGCCAGCGGAGTCCTGAAGTACAGGCAGACGCAGCAGCCCATGGCCAAATCATTAAGACAAATTAAGACATATTAACGTATGCTGGAAACAATTACTGACATAGGTTTAATTTGTTTCACTGCTGGAAGAAAATCCTGAGAGGGCACCAAACACATACCTGAGAACAGTTCCGTAGCCACCCTGTGACTCTTGTCACTTGTGAGCACTTTAGGGGCTAAAATCTACTTAAATTGGACACCTACCAAAGAAGAATAATATATCTGAAAATAGATCCTGTATTAGATGAGGGTTACAAGTGCTTATACAAATTACTTAGTGTCTGTTAAGGCGGTGATTTTCTAGTTTATTTTTAACCTACCATTATTGTTATAAATAATTATAGCTGTTTATCCATGTAATATACTGAGCTCTAAAATAAAATGGGCACATTTTATAGTCATATAATATACTTAGCAAACTCGTATATTTGCATTATGGTTTGCTCTTTCTTTCAGAGACCTAAACTGAATATGAGGTAGTTCATTTGTTTTTGAATTTCGGCCTTTGATTCCTGTTGATATTTCTGTTGTTGCTGTTGTTGTTCCTTGCGTAACTGGTATTTTTAATTGTCTTACCATCAGGAAAAGAAAGTCTCAGCACACCAAGCTGCATTTTTCCCAGAGAAAGAGAACAGAATCTATCATCAAAGTTATTCTAGGCTGTGAGTGCTGCAATATGCCCACCATATGGTAATTGTAGTCTTGTCCCGGAGGTTGGCGAATGGGCCCTTAACGACATCCTGCGGTAGTCAAGGCAGAGGTCAGAGCACCTTCCTCAAAATATTAACTCCCAAAGGAGCAATCAACGGCCGCAGGAGTGGTGTGTTTAGACTGAGAATTGATTTGTCCTGTCATCACAGTGGCGATAGCTTCCTCGCAGATTTTTCCTGCACATCAAATATGTATGCTTATATGTGAGGAGTGTAATCGCCCAGTCACTTAAAAAAAAATGGACAGGCCTTTTATGGCATGAGAAGTGAATATAAAAGCTACCTATTATAGCCTGCTTATAGCCATACAGGTTTACTGCCTTTTTCTTGGGGTTGCCTTGTGATAGCCTCGTCCTTTTTTCCTGCTACTTCTTCCCTGTGCTTTAGGCTTTGCAAACAGTTATGGGACAACTCATGCATGTTGAAGACACAAATCATTTTCTTTGATTATCATTTAACTCAACGTGTGAGACCTTCATTTTGGAAATGAGGCAGGGTAGCATCTGAAACCTCCGAGCGACAGCTTGAAAGACGATTTTGGTTGCTTCTCAGCTTGCCCCCCTCCCATGCAGAAGTCCAGCTAGAGAGCAGCATTTGACCCCATTTATATGAGCATCTTCCATAGAAAGCACGAGTTTTTACCGAAGAAGAAGGCCTGCCTTCCTCCTTGAATACAGATGTCCTTGGCATTCCAGACAAAACTTTCGTGTCTAGTCAATACTCAGTCATTTTATTGGCAGCCACAGACCATTTGAAACCAGATGTATGTGACCACAAGTCTCTGAAATTACCTGTGTCCTCAGAGAGTATTATTTACAGTCTTCCTCTTTCAAGCAGAAATGTTAAGGTATCCCACAAAAGAAGCCACGCACTTGTAAGGTTGTTCACAAAAAGCAATTTGAAAATCATGAAAAGAGGAGGGAAATATGCTAGCCAGGATGGATAATGACATTACTGAGATTTATTATTGAATTCGGCCCTGAGACGATCTAAAGATCCAGCAGTAAGTGGATGATTAAATACATTATTGCACAGCCACACGGCAGAAGATTATGTGGCCATTAAAATTATCCTCAGAGACAGTTTGTAATGATGAGGGAAAATGCTCATAATACAATATTAAGAAAAGAGAAGGTTAAAAACTACAGAATTCTCTCAGCTATGCTTACAAAAATTGAGAAAAAAATATTGGAAGAAAATTCACCAGAATATTAGCTATGGTTGGTAAGATGAAGTGATTTTTGTTTTCATCTTTGTATTTTCTCTTTTTTCAGATAGTAGTAATGAATACATGCTGTTAACTACTTTATCATCACACATAAATGTTATTTTTTTTCAGTTGACTCTGAGCTTTCTGAGAGAAAGGGTCACATGAGTTACATGATTCTCATTATGTGATGAAAGAACAACCTCAGTTCTTCCAGATAAATTTTTTGCTGGATACTGAATTCCAAAGGAGGTTTATCGTAAGAGATGTCAAGTGATATAATGTCCAAATCTTGGTAAAGTTCTTAGTGCGAATGCAGAAGCGGTCTCCTTATGACTGTTTCGTGACCACCCCTAAGAAGAGCCAAAGGCCCAGCGCTCCAGGCTAAGGTGGTGGGATTAGCCCCGCAAGGGGCTTCCGGCTCTTAATTCTGCGTGTGGAGTTTCCGAGTGATGCTTTTCTTCATGCGTCTTACCCAAACGAGCTGTGTGAGATGGGCCTAGCAGATGCAGAAAACAGCTTTCAGCACTTTATTTCACACTTTGAGGATTGAATCACCAGTCCTGGAAATCTGTTTATTAAAATACATGTAATTTGACTTCTCCCCCCACCCCTCAGGTGTTGCTGCGCTGGATTCCAGTGTATCTGGAAAAATCGGTCTGCGTGCCGTCGTGTATTATTTCTGTACCACTGCCATTGCTGTAATTCTAGGTAACGTTTATTTCTGAATCCTTAATTCTCTATGTAATTGCAACTTTTCATTCAAAAAGTAGTCAGGCTAAAATACACAATTTTTTTTTTAAATCAGAAAGTAGTATTGTCAAACCACCATGAAGCTTTTCCCTTGGAAGTCTACATAGCACCTTTTATGTGAAGAAAATGTAATACTGACTGAATCTGAGCCATGGTACTGCCTATTAAAGTCTCAACTGTCACTCAAGAGTGATAGTTTTATGCCTTGTCAGGATCATTGGGTAGAAGGAAGTGAAGCCAAGAGCTTATATAATTCTTAAACTGGATAATTAGTCTATAATAGTGGAGTTGGGTATAATTACAAAATATTTTCAGAAAGATAGCATTTTAGTGTATTTCACATAGTTCCAAGAGCTAACGGCTAACAAAACCTTGCCAAGTATAAATCCCACTTGTAAGAGGGAGAAAGTTCCGATAAGGGAATAGCATCTCTTGTACCTTTAGCATGGTTTTATGAGTGTTCTATCCTTTGTGACCCAACATGACATTTTAAGAAGGATGCCCAGAGTGGAAAGAAAGGAAGGGAATGTACTCAGATGTTGCAATCAGCTTGACCCTTACAGTCCTGCTTTAATAAACTGATAAGAAGTGATGGGACCCTGCCCTCAATCAAAGCCCCATCTCCTCACGAGGTTCTTGAGGGAGACAGACACAAAGGAAAAATAGCAGCGAGAAAGCAAGATAGTGCTTTATTATCAGCTGGGTGTATATCCCTTCTGCAGCCCCAAGAGGAAAGAGTGGACCATGCCCACTCATGGCCCTCTTATTTCCCAGCGACTCCCCCACTAGCAAAACTGGCCCATTCAGCATCCCAAAGTCTTACCCCTTGATTTACCATGACGTCCTTTTGGGGTGGAAGCAATGAAGAGCATGAGGACCCTCTTCTTCCTCACTCCCCTCCAAACAGCCTCCCACCTCTGCTTGGACACTCGAGTGACAGGAACTCATTACTCCCAAAGGCCATAATGGCTCTTTCAGATGCTCCACCATGTAGACAGGTCTTCCTTATGGCGAGATGAACCCTCCCTCCCTGTAACTCCCATCTGTTTGTCCTCACTCCACCTCTGAACAACATATTCCCACATGACAACTTTCCAGATATTCAAAGGCCCATGGTATGGAAGGAAGGCAAGGCTAGTTCTGTATGACCCTCAGGAGGGTAACCAGCCTCTGTGGATAAAAGTTACAGAAAGATATTGAATGAGTTCCCTGGGCTGGAAAATGAATCACTCTCATCCTAACACCTGCCTAGGCTGATCTCATAGCTAAAGAAAAGAAAAAGAATATTCTCATCAGCAGGTGTTTCCGGAAGCAATTCGGGGAGGCAGCCCCTTCACTTAAAAAAAAAAAAAAAAAAAAAGACAAAAAACAAGGGAAGAGTTCTTTCTGCTTTCTCATTTAAATGGAAAAGTAATTAAGGGGCTGCTGAAGTCCCAGTGGAGGCTCAGCATTTGGGCTGGACCTCAGGGTCTTCCTCACCATGGTATTACCTGGTACCACCATGCCTCCTGGTCCTAAGAAGGATGCCTTGGGGTGCCAGGGGTGCCAGCTGCCCTGGAAATTCCTAATGCTCTATGGGTGCTGTTCTTGGCCACAGGTATTATACTGGTGATGACTATCAAGCCTGGCGTCACCCAGAAGGTGACTGAAATTGACAGGACTGGCAACACTCCTGAAGTCAGCACAGTGGATGCCATGTTAGACCTCATCAGGTGAGTGTCTTGGCAGCAGGTGGCTGCATGGGCATGTGACCTGTATAGTTGTTCAAGGCCCCGTGTATGTTTTAATGCTCTGCTGTTGCTGTCTTGAAATTTTGAATAATTTTTGAATTGTGCATTTTCATTTTATTCTGGAGCTGTGAACTACCTAGCCAGTCCTGCTTTCCAGGGCATAGTTCCAAGAGGGAATGGAAGGAACAAGCTCCTCTGTCAGGATTTAGGACGGACAGAGATGCCAAAAGCATAGTTGTTGCATAGGGATGCTTGGCTGGGTTGAGTGGTCAGCTCCAAAGTGCACTTAGAGAAATACATTTTTTAATTGTACAGGAGAAACTCTCTATCTGAAGCAATCAGAGCCAGACATAGGTTGGATGATAAAAATAACAATTAAAGCAGAAACTCATAAAAATGATATGATACATATTACATATTTTGTTTCCGCTTAAAACTCAAAAGCACTTATTCACTAATTTTTTGATGTAGGGCCAAGGTCTTTTCTTGGAGTTTGTCAGTTTATAATTTCATATGGTTTCTGTTGTTTATGCAGCCCTTTTAAATGCATCATTTGCAATTTCCAGATTAAGTTTCCATAGATTTGAGCAATGAAACCCTTAGAAATTGCAAAGAAAGCCGAATGCCAAAAAGACAAATAAGATCTTTTTATTTCAATTGTCTTCCCATACCTAATTTAACCATAAAAATTTTAGTCATTTGCCTTTATTGAGTTTCCAGGCATTCAGTTTAGTTTTTATAGAAACCATACCTTCCTTTTCATACTCATATTTCATTGGCTTGCATAATATTAAATTCAGTAATTATGATGATATTTGCAATTGGCATAAAGAACTTGGGAACAAATACATTGGACTCTTGGTATGCATTCGTTCTCACTGATGAAAACAGAAATGTGCAGAATTTTAAAGAAGAAATAGTCTCTTGACTGTGAGTGTCCACCTGCCAGCACAGTGTTTCACCGAGGATAGAAGGCGTGTCAGTGATTCAGTGAATCATTTAAGTGACAATTCATTAGGGGAGCTTTCTATACTTGAAGCTCAGCAGGAGAAAAGAAGTCTTAATTCAAGGAAGTATTATGCAAAGGAAAGGCCAGAAGAGGAACCAGAGTACTCATTCTATATTATACTCATTTCCACCAACGTATTGAGTATGATTTAAAAAAAAAACAAAACACTTTTTTTGTACTGACATAATACTGCTTTTCCTGTCTCCAACAGGAATATGTTTCCTGAGAACCTCGTCCAAGCCTGTTTTCAGCAGGTAATATTAATGACTTTTGCCCTTATGTTGCTACTCTCTTCCCATTACCAATTAAGAATTTTTTTTCTACTGTGACCCATCAAAAACAGCAGCAGGAAGTACATCTGCGGATGGTGGACTTTCAGGGGACTCCGCTGTTCTGTGTCCGGCCTTTGCCACCCACAGCGAAGTGCATGTCGTAACTTACACCGCTCCCTTTTCCTTTATGCATTTTCCCCCCAAAGGGTTCAAATGGTGCAAGTCAGGAATCTGTCAAACAATAAATGTTTTAAAATGTGGCCTCCAGTACCTATTTTTGGAGAACCATGTTATATTTGTGCAGAAACTCAATCTCTCTGCAAAAAAAAAGCAGCTCTCCACCTCCTCTTTCCTTTTCCTCTCACGCTGCAGCCCAGGACCTAACCCACACGGTGTCGTTCACACTCTGGATTCCGTCTTTTACTTAATCATTATGTCCCCGTTGCTGGCACTCCACCGAGCAGTGTAACAAAGCCATGATTTTTTTCTCTAGGAAAATTTAGCAATCTCTTTAATTGACTTTGAGCCTTTTTCTCTTATTTATCTATGTGCTTTAAGACAGCCGAGTCTATCACAAATTGCTGTACTCATTTACATAAATTACATGAACAGAGACTTCTGTGTATACCAAAAAAATGGCAATTATACTGCTCCCCACTGGCCTCCGCAAGGCACAGAACCACCTCTATTTCAGGGGTACATTTGCAGATCAGCCACAGTGGTCATTTGTAAGGTTCTTGGTGTTGGCAGAGCCCTGTAGGGGGCACATTTATGCCTGGTGTAATAGTATACTAGCTCTTTCTTAAACCTCCATGTCGAAGCTCCACAAAGCCAAACAGGGCTGAAGGAAGAGAATTCAACTGAAATCTTACTCATGGAATAGTCCTAAAGGGACTGTTGTTTTTGGAACAACCATATAGTTTAAACCTTCCTTGATGTTTATTAAAATCATGGTGACTTTACCAAAGCGATGAAGCGTTTTCTCCCAGGATTAAAAATAATTCATTAATTAATAGAAACAAAAATGATGGACAGGAATCTTTATAGAGTCTATGAAAGCACCTACAGATAAAACCTATACTTCCTTTCACGTTATTGCTCCATTAATTTGTCCCTTACTGGGAAAGTGAGAGAACGAACATTTGACATTACTGAATGGTGGTGTGGGAGTCAGGGGTTGGGTTTCTCGGTCCCACTTTTAGTTCCAAAACCTCCCGGGAGGCACCACTGACATCCAGCAGAGGCCTTGAAGGTAGAACCCTACAGTGGCACCTATTTGACCAAAATAACATATTCCTGTGGTTAAGCCACAGAAGCTTTAGAAACTCTTTTTCTTTTTATTGTTTACTTGTCTTTTTTCCAACGTGCAGTACAAAACCCAGCGTGAAGAAGTGAATGCTGACAGTGATCCAGAGACAAACGTGACAGAGGAGTCCTTCACAGCCATCATGACAACTGCTATTTCCAAGGTACTGTCCTCGTGGCCTGCCCCTTCCCCAGCGGGCAGCCTGTGAGTCAGGAGTGAGCAAGAGATGAAAATATGACTGAGTTTCTTGTTACTCGCAGAATCCACATTTGTGAATCCATGTACTTGCTAAACTTTATTTTTAATCCCAAAAATCAATACTTGCAGGGCTTTTGAGGTCATCTGCAGCACACAAAGAATGGCGAAATATTTGAGTCACGTGAAGTACATGTTCCCAGCTGAGGTCAAACAAGGCTCTGCTCTGCCTTCTTGTTTGGGTTCTTGTATTGTAAATGAATGTCCATTTTGCAGTGGTTCTAACACCACATTTTATTTTTTTGCTTTTTTGTGTTTTTTTCTTGGTGATTTCACTGTTTAAAACGGACACCAAAGGGTAGTGCTAAAGTGCTCTGTAGTGTTCCTAAGCACAAAAAAAGACTGTGACGTGCCTTATGGAGAAAAGTTGGTGTTAGATAAGCTTCATTCAGGCATGACTTATAATGCTGTTGGCTGTGAATTCAATGTTAATGAATCAACAATACATATTAAATAAGGTATCTTTAAACAGAAACACACAAAACAATGTTAAGTGTTGATTATTTAATTAAAACGATGTGATCAGGGTTCCCAGGAACCTAGCCCTATATTTCCTCCAGGAGCAGTGATTCAGTATTTGCTAACTCAGTGTTCATGAGAACTTTATAGAACATAACTATTGGGAATAAAGAGAATCAGCTATACCACAGAGAGAAAAGAATGAGCCCTGTTGCCTCTATATTTCTGCCACTGCTTACAGTAGAGATGGGCGCCTCTGGGAACTGCTGTAGATTTGCAAGCCTATATGAATATAGAATGCACACCCACCATTCCTTGCTTGAATCTCTCTGCCCAGATGCGACTGAGAGTTCAGTGTCTCTCATACTTCAGAAGGGCTGTGTGGTGTACACACAGCATATTATGCAATATCCATAAGTGGAATTGCCAACTACACTCCGGAATCAAGCATATCAATATTTCTGCAACAAACTCATGAATATTCTGCCAAGTGAGAAAAATAGACTCTCTGTAGCCTCATCTCAGTTCAGCATAGGTTTTGTCACCGAAAGAGTTGGCCATAAATGTAGCAATAAAATCAGTGGACTTTGAGAGCTGTGAGGATCTCATAATTGGGGATTAGAAACTGTGGGCCTGAAGAGGTACATTTGCACACCTGTAGTAAATTAACCCCCAAATATTCTCTGCCTCACCCAGGAAGGAAAGATTTAAGGAAAAAGAATGTCAGTAGCCTTAAGAATTCAAATGAAATAGACCATGGTTGGCTCCCTGATTCCTACTGCAGAGAGCCTTAACCCCTCCAGCTGGGTTCAGAGGCCCTGCAGGACCTGGCTTCTCTCTGGTTTTCCCGCTTACTTCCCAGTGGGCCCCCAGTGGGGTCTGTCCAGATCCGCCTCCTCCATTACTCCTTATTCCTGCCTTTCCATGTGGTTCACGAATATTTTCTGAGCTCCCTCCACATGCCAGGCCTTCTGGGCACTGGGATTATAAAAGTGACAAGACAGATGTGGCATCTGTCCTCATGCAAAGAAGGATGAGTATGACCATGAGGAAGAATGGAGTGCTTTGGGGGCATTCGATGGGGGTTAAATTAGTTTGGGGGCCATAAAGGATGAGTACGAATTATTCAAGCAGGGTACAAAGGCCCAGTGCACGATGACTTTTGCCTTGGCTTACCATTTTTCTGGAACATGCTTTGTCTCCTGCCTGCCAACTCCTCAGGCCTTGCTTTCCCTAACCTCGAAACCCTCATTCATGTCCCAGTCTCCATGTGACGCTTGTAACTCATAGCTTGGCTGTGTGGTTAATTACATACCGTCTTGCTATTATTGGCTCATGTTTCTCACAGTTAGTCTTGTCTCTCCAACTGAATTTTAAGACCTTATGCTGTTGCTAGTGCAGTTAGAACACTCTAGCTGCTCCCTAAATATCTGTTTGATCAGAAGTAAGAAACGACTGGTAACCCAGTGGCTCCTTGACATAATTCTTTACAAACTTGGTTTGCACCACTCAAATTACGTTATCACTTGGTAAATCTCATGCTATTTTTACCCAGGATAAAGTGAAGAAATGGCTCACAGGAGTAGGTATCTGGTTAATTTTTTTATCTCTAAAACCCTATGGGTCATCCAAGACCAGAGTCAGTAAAGAATGTTCCTGCGCTTTATTCTCAGGGCAAAACAGATGATAAAATGTCCTAAAAACGTTCATGCTGGCAAATATGTTTTACTTCCTGCATTTATTAATTCCTTTCTTTTTTTAAAGTAGACTCCAAATGTAGCTAGTAGTTAAAATAACCCCGAAAAGCGCTCTGATTCTAAAATTCATAATAAAAATGTGAAACATTCCTGAATAAGAAATCTTCATAAGAAATATTCAAATATGGACTTGTCGAGAGGAAAAAGAAAACTTTAAATTTCAGGGTGGGATAAAATCTGTTACATGCGTAGGTCTTATTATTATTATTATCTTTCCTAAAGTATTGTTGACTCTGGTAGATCACTAGTTTATTGTGTTTGGCTATCATATCTTCTCATTTCAGGGCCTGTGCATTCTAACAAGATTATAATCATGCATCAATGTATTTTCTTGGTTTTGATCCACAGAACAAAACAAAGGACTACGAAATTGTAGGCGCGTATTCAGATGGCATAAATGTCCTGGGCTTAATTGTCTTTTGCCTTGTCTTTGGACTTGTCATTGGAAACATGGGAGAAAAGGGACAGATTCTGGTGGATTTCTTCAATGCTTTGAGTGATGCTACCATGAAAATCGTTCAGATCATTATGTGGTGAGCAGACACTGTTTAATGTCACTTTGCTTCCCCTGACAATTCTGTCTCCTCCAAATTAGAAAGAAGAGGCTTATGCTTCTCCACTGACCTCATCCTAGAGAAGGTGTACATTTAATATCAAGTCACTGGAGTATGAAATAGTTCCACATACTACTCAGAAGTTAGTTCATTAACAAAAGTCTAGTTATCAGCCATTATCTTTTCCCTCAAAGCCCTGGGAGATCATCTTGTTCTCAACCAGCATTCATGTAAGAAGGAATTCTTAAAGGGATGATTTGAAGGAGTTCCTTGCACATGAGAACACAAAGTGCTTTCCTTATTAAGCTCCATGCAGAAGTGACATTCAAAATATTTACAACTGTTCTGGCATGGCACTAACACATAAGAGTGAAAGCTGCCATCTGTGAGTGTACTAGTGATACCACCTGAGTATCTGCCCTGTCCCCGGAGATGCCAGGAAGTCTTCCTGTCCTAGGAAGCATCTGCCTTACTTATCTCATATCGAATTAGAGCAACATTATTTAATCCTAAGTGTAAACTTTGACAGTGACGTAAAGGGCTCAGTAAAAACAGCCAGGCAAGTCATTTAATCCTGCAGAAACCTCAGCTTCATGGTCTGTGAAAAAGGATAATAAAATCTACCCCGAGGGTTAGGAGAAGTACATTAAATGAAATGATGCATGTAAGATATTTTCCCCAACACAAATAGATCTATTATGACCATTTCCACTGCTAATGCTGTTGCTTCTATTGCTGATACCTGGGAAACAAGATGACCATGGCTAGCGTCCATATTTGGCAGTGAGGGTCAAGCTCAAGTGGGATAAGCAGATACGACAGTCAACAGGATACATGTGCACTGGGAGCATGGCATGGGAATGTCATGACCACATGTTCTTGCCAAGTTTGCAAACCACCATTATGGTAGTTTAGGTGGGTACCATTGAAGGTGCATGCAGGTACTAGAATTTAGAGCCAACAGAGTCCACCCAGGACTTGAAAAAGCCCTTAGCTGCAATATGTACCCTGTGCCCGCCAGCTGAGTACACATGCCAAGCTGGGGGTGCATGCCCTACCATGTTTCTTCCCCAACAACCCCAGCCTGAGAAAACACATGTCTTTGTTGTGCTTACTTTCTAGTTACATGCCTCTCGGTATTTTGTTCCTGATTGCCGGGAAGATCATAGAAGTTGAAGACTGGGAAATATTCCGCAAGCTGGGCCTTTACATGGCCACAGTCCTGAGTGGGTATGTCGGGCTCAAGAGAAGAAACAGAAACTTCTTTGATGCAATGGGATGGCTGCTGAGAGGCTGGGCTTCAGCTGGTTAAAATCAGCTTCTCTCCCACGTGCAGGGGAAGATAGGGTTCAGAGATAAGAGAGCAGGGGAGGGGGCTGCCCTTTAACAGCTGTGCTGTAGGTGGATCACGACGCGCTAATTGCCAGCTCTTGGCAGAACAGCCTGGACCAGGCTTTGTCACTGCCTTTACTGGTTGTGTTAAAATCGTTTTTTAAAACAAAAGAGAAACCCACTCGTAGCCTCTCTTGGCTCTCTCTGGGACTTCGCTTCCTCAAGAACGTAAACTAGCCAAGCAAGTAAGAATAGCCCTGATGTACCATGAGCCTGAAAGAAATTAGGAAGGGCCTAAATGAAGTCAAGCTCAAGGAGTAGAAGCAGGATGGCCGGCCCGTTCCCACGCTGGTGCCCTGCATCATCAGCTGTCAGAGAGCACGCTGGGAAAATCTTGAGGCCAGGAGGAATTGTGGGGCTTTTTAGAAGCCATAAGACTGGAAGGCAGCAGGGGATTGGTCATTTGCATATTTATTACAGCTCAGGTATTGATTCCATGAAAGAGATGTGATGGAATAGGTTATGAATGTGCCCTCAGACACCTAGCCAGCGGCAGGGTATATCACATAGACTAAGAAATACGGACCAACGGATGAGTAAATATCATCGATATGACTCCCACAGGTCAATACCCTCAAACTCCCAACTTAATCAACTCACCTATTGGAGCTTGATTGCACTGGGGCGGGGAGCAGTTTCCATCACGCAGAATTTGGTTCTTAATCTGTGTTTGGCAAAAGCACAGCCCTGCTAGCAAACACAGAAGCAGCCTGGGTTCCTACAGTGTGAGGGCCAGGGACAAATCCAGGGAGGTGGGACCTCTACCTCCCTAGAGGCCACCGTGACTCTGGGGCTGCTGAAACAGGCAGTGCCAGGAACTGTGTCCAGGCAGTGACGTGGCTAAGGGACACTGAGCCATTTCATAATGGAGTTCTGCTGCTTTCTATTCTCTCATCCTATCTAGGTTTCTAACAGAAAACTAAAAGTGAGTTCTGGGCTGGGTGTGGTGGCTCACACCTGTAATCCTAGCACTCTGGGAAGCTGAGGTGGGAGGATTGCTTGAGCTCAGGAGTTCGAGACCACCCTGAGCAAAAGCGAGACCTGTCTCAACTAAAAATAGAAAAATTAGCCTAGTGTGTGGAACATGCCTGTAATCCCAGCTACTCAGGAGGCTGAGGCAGGAGGATCGTTTGAGCCCAGAAGTTTGAGGTTGCAGTGATATGTGATGTCGCCATTGCACTATAGCCAGGGCAACAGAATGAGACTCTGTCTCAATTAAAAAAAAAAAGTCACTTCCTCATAGTTCTTAGCTATAAGCTCTCTATAGACAAGACTCTCTCTGCCGACCTCTAGGATCTGTATTTTCTATGCCCATTTCTTATTGTTTCAAACTCACATGACTGATGTGTAAACTAGAAATTGTCACTTACAGAAATATGCCATCTGCCAAATGGGTCTCATTTCTTAAGCCCCCCCTATTTTGTGTAACCTGTATATTTCCATGTGAAACAGGAATGGTTTTGGAAAGCAGGAATAAAAGAAAAGAGGGTCGGTCCTGAAGTATGCAGGCACTTTTTCCTTACTGCAACTCTGACTTCCCTCTTGGACAGTGGGCGCTGTCCAGCAAGGCAGCAGGGTCCCGGGAATGGAGGGAGTGGGGCTCTGGTGGGGCTGTAATGAAGTGTCAAGTATAGGGACACAGAGGGCGCCAAGGAGGGAAGGATCAGCTCTGCCTGGGACAGTGAAGGAAGGCTTCCTGGAGGAGGGGGGAGATCTAGCTGCATCTTAGAAAAGGAGTAAGAATTCAGCAGCAGCAGAAGGAAATGGGAGCGTTTTTGCACGTGTAGCAGGAATAGCATGCATGAGGCGTGGCAGCATGATGTAACCCTGTTCTGTGGGCTCTGAAATTTGGATTCAGCTATTGGCTTTGCCCTTAACTCTGACAAGATGCTTCATTTGCTGAATGCGCCTCTACGTCCTCGTACGTGGAATGGGGACATATATTCCTGCCCTACTTCTTGTGTTCTTATTGTGTCATTATGAAAGTCAAACAAGATTGTGAATATAAAAGTGTTTGATAAAAGGGTTAAGTATGAGGAGGTGGCATTGTCTTTGAAACTGTTTCTGTTACAGGCTTGCAATCCACTCCATTGTGATTCTCCCGCTGATATATTTCATCGTCGTAAGAAAGAACCCCTTCCAATTTGCCATGGGAATGGCCCAGGCTCTCCTGACGGCTCTCATGATCTCTTCCAGGTAAATAGAAGAGGGGTTTCTGAAAGAAGACTCTAGCCAAACTTTATCACCTCTCACCTGATTTGATGACACAGACTCCAGCTTGTGGTTTTTGTAGCTACTTTTAACTTGAGAAGTGACCTCCACATTCTCTGCACCCTTTGAACGACTGTTCCCTGCCATCTTGGCATGGCCTGCACCCAGAAACGGGTTGTAGTGTAGCTGGGAGCAGCAGTGGGCACAGCACCTTCTGATTCCTGGGCCCCCCAAAAGTGAACCTTTGTTCACTTTTTGGAAGAGGTGTCTTTTCAGGTAGGAACCCAGGGCCAGCATTCCTAGATCATACGCTGCTTTCTCCTTTTATCACACAGTTCAGCAACACTGCCTGTCACCTTCCGCTGTGCTGAAGAAAACAACCGTGTGGACAAGAGGATCACTAGATTTGTGTTACCCGTCGGCGCCACAATCAACATGGATGGGACTGCGCTCTATGAAGCTGTGGCAGCTGTGTTCATTGCACAGCTGAATGACTTGGACCTGGGCATTGGGCAGATCATCACCATCAGGTGGGGTGTGGTGCACACTCGTTTTTCATCACCGTTACTGGGATTGCCTCGAGTGAAAATGGTCTGTAAAGGGTCAATAAGAATCGCCCCGTGATGGATCGTTTTTCTTGGTCTGTGAAGTCCCTTCCCAGGATTAAATACAACTGTGTGATAAGTAGTGGACTCATGATATGCAAGATTTCTGCTTCAGGGAAGCCAAAGGCATCACTCTGTGCTCAGTTCAGTGTACCCAGGCGCTAGGCACTGAGTAGGCACAAAGACTCAAGGTTGAATAAAGGCCAGTCCCTGCTTTCAAGAGGTCCCTGATAGATAGAGATACAGATATCCAAATGAACGCTCAGGGCTGTGATGAGGGCTCTAACAGAACCTTGTGTGGTGGTCACAGAGGGCACAGAGGAGGAAGGGCTAGCTCTTCCTGGGAAGGTGAGGGAAAGCTTTCCAGAGGAGGGGAAAGTTTAGCTGAATCTTAGAAGAGGAATAGGAATCTATCAGGTGAAGAAGGAAGCTTAAGAGCATTTTGGATAGCAGAAATGGCTTGTGATGTAGCCGTGGCCTAGTTACAGAGTACAGATTATTTGTTATGGCTTGTATAAAGGGTACAATGTGGAGAACATACAGGAATGAGGAGGCAGGGATCATATCATGAAAGACATTGTATGGGGAGCTCATAGAAGGGTCTCAGACACTTTGTCATGTTGTGGACAGATCTGCATTTTAGAAAGGTAACTGGCAACATGGCAGATGGAATGGATGGGGGCAGAAACCACAAACTAGAAGACTGGTTAGGAGACTTGCAGAAGCCCAAATAAGGTATTAAAAGGCCCACATCAAGGCACTGACACTGGGGATGGAGAAGAGCTAGCAAATGGAAGAGACATCTGTTGGAGTCAGGCTGAGGGACAGGGAAAGGCTCGGATGACTCTCAGGATTGGTGGATGATGCTGGGTTGGTGGACAGGTCTTACCAAAACAGGGACTGGCACAAGAGAAGCAAGTATAGGTGGCAAGATAAAGAGTTAATACTTTTTGACACATTGAATTTGGCTTTAAGACCTCCAGGTGGAGATATCCAGTGAGAAACATAGGTCCAGACTGCAGGTACAGAAGTTAAGGACGTCAGCTTAATGGTGGTCTTCAAACGTATGGGTCACGAGTCAGTTGTCTGTTTGAATCCCGTCTACGCCATGATTAGCTGTGACCTTGGGAAAGTGACTTGAATGCTCTAAGCTTCTGTTTTCTCACCTGTAAAATGAGGATACTAATAGTACCTACAATTATTCCAGTAGTGGTGATTAAGTAAGATGATGCATATAAAATGCTCAGAACAGTACCTACATGGTGAGCATCAGTGAATGTTGGGAATGGATGCAGGATGCAGGGAGAGTTTGTAGAGAAGAGAAGGAGACTAAGGATTGAGCCTTGGAAAATCCTAGTACCAGAGGCAGGCAGAGAGGGGGGAACCCCAGAGGGAGAATGAGAAGGACAGAGAGGTGGGAGGGGAGTCAGGAAACCTTAGTGTCGTGGAAACCCAAAGAAGAGAGATTATCAAGGATGAAATGGTCCACTAAGTCAGATACTGCAGAGAATTCTGATCAAACGAGGACAGAAATTGTCTGCTCAAGTAGATGATAAAAATATCATTGGTGAATTTTGCCAGAGTTGAACCAACTGTTCAATATGGCAGCCACTAGCCACATGCGGCTAATGGCTAACTGAATTGTATGGCAGAGATTTAGAACATTTCCATCACTGCAGAAAGTTCTGCTGGACAACACTGTATTGGAGTGATAAGCTGGGATTAGAGTTAACCCGGAGACTTGAGTGTAAAGTAGAAGTGTAAGACTAAACTGGGTCCCTAGGCCTACTGAAGGTTGAATTTGAACCTTTTAGAGTTAATTCACTCTTGTGTCCCCAGACTAGACATAAATTCTAGGCATAAATTAAGTTTGTTAATTAACAATTTTCTAAAACAGTACATTTTTAAAATCCTACCCAACCTTAAATCATAAAGTATTTATCATTGTTTGCTTGAAATTGAAGACAAGTACAAAATATACCAATTGGCACAACAGCTGGGGAACTATCCAGATACTGCATAATCTATAAAAAAGGTTAGTGCCTAAAGAAGCCCAAGCCAAAGAGCTTGAGTAAAGTCCTATGGTTATAACAGCAGAGAGTATGTTAAAATTAAAAGCTTGAATCATGCATGAGAACGTTTCTGCCCCACAACCATCTACATGGTTGTTACTTTTACATTTCCAAGGGTTTTTCACTACCTCCCTTCACTCTGGCCTGTGGAACCCAGTCTGCACTGAATTGATGTCCAAGGAGTGGTTGCCTGAGGTGCCAGTTCTTTTGTGTATTTGCCACTTTATGATAAATTTCTTTCCTCTTCCTTAGTCATAAGTTTTCTAGATCTTTCTAACCCTTTTTTTTTTTCTTTTTGCCTTGCTACTAGAAGAATCTACTTTGGGCGTAGAGGCTAAATAGTCAATTCACATTAAAACATCTTTCCCTACTCTCTGGTTTATTCTTAAATTAGACTTGCTGATAACTACTCACCCAGAACCAATAACAACGGTGAGGTTCAAAGTAATCATCAACTTAAAATTTAAAATCCTCTCTGGCTCTACCAGGGAAATAACACAAGTTGTTTTAACTTTACAAGTTATAGTATATACTGTATCTTGTGTAGTTATAGCTCATGTGACTAATGGTTAAAGAGAGTTTTAGACCCACAGTATATTTCTTTCTGTGGACATCAAAGAAACATAGGGTACCATCTACCCAAAACATACCTGTAAGGCTGGTGGCGGGCACCCCTCCCCTCCCTAGAGAAAAAGGAAGCCCATGAGTCCCGCCCTAAAGGCGGTAACGAAGAACTCTACTTTGCGCCAAAAGTTGGCGGAAGAGAAACCCCCATCCCCCAACTCCAAAACCTTTATAAGCCCACTCAACACTTTGGGTGCGTGACTTCTCTGGCCCCCTCTCTCGGGACCAGTGAACTTCGCCGGGAGCACTTTCTTTCCTCCTCCCCCAGTAAAGCCTTGTTGCTTGCCCTTTTCACTCTGCTGGTCTTTCTTTCTCTGCTGCGGCCCATCCAAAAACCTTACAATACCCTTTTGTGATTTTACCATAATAGTCACTTATCAAAGGTTGCAATTGATTGGAAATCAGATAATTGTCCTATAAAGAAAGATAATTATAGGATTGGGGGCCTACAAAGAACTTAGAGAAGAAAAGTAGTAATAGTAGTAGTTGTTGTAATAGTGGTTGTTGTTTTGGTTGTTGCTACAGTATTAGCAGAAGTTGTAATAGTAATAGCAGTGGCAATAGTAGCAGTAGAAAAAGTAGCAGCAACTGCTGTTGTTACAGAAGTAGCAGAATAATGGCATGGGTTTTTTGGGGGGGTTTTTTTTGGGGTAATATATACATATATAATTTGCCATCTTTACCATCTTTAAATGTGCAGTTCAGTGGTAATAAATACATTTGTATTCTTTTTTTTATTTACTTCATCTCCACACCTCCCCTTCCCAGCCTCTGGTAGCCACCAGTCTGCTCTCTATTTTCATGAGATACACTTTTTTAGCTCCCACAATGAGTGAGAATATGTGATATTTGTATTTCTGGGTCTGGTTTATTTCACTTAATAGAATGGCCTCCAGTTCCATCCATGTTGCTGCAAATGATAGGATTCCATTCTTTTTACGGCTGAATAGTATTCCATTGTGTATATACAGCATTCTCTTTATCCATTCATCTGTTGACAGGCACTTAGCTAGATTTCATAACTTGGCTATTGTGAATAGTGCTGAAATAAACATGCGAGGGCAGGTTTTTCTTTGATATATTGATTTCTTTTGTTTTGGATCTATACCCAGCAGTGGGATTGCTGGGTCAAATGGTAGTTCTACTTTTAGTTTTTTGAGGATCCTCCATGCTGTTCTCCATAGCAGCTGTACTAATTTACATTCCCACCAATGGCGTATGAGGGTTCCCCTTTCTCCACATCCTCACCAGCATCTGTTATTGCCTTTCTTTTTGATACAAGCCATTTTAACTTGGGTGAGATGATATTGCATTGTGGTTTTGATTTGCATTTCTCTGATGTTTAGTGACATTGAACATTTTTTTATATACTTGTTGGCCATTTATATCTTCTTTTGAGAAATGTCTGTTCAGATCTTTTGCCTACTTTTTAATCAGATTATTTATTTTTTTGCTATTGAGTTGTTTGAGTTATTTTCGCTATTGTGTTGTTAAGGGTTATTAATCCTTTGTCAGATGGGTAGTTTGCAGATACTTTCTTCCATACTGTGGGTTGTCCTTTCACTTTGTAGGTTGTTTCCTTTGCTGTGCAGAAGCTTTTTAGCTTGATGTGATGCTACTTGTCTATTTTTGTTTTGATTGCCTGTGCTTTTGAGATCTTACACAAAAAATCTTTGACCAGACCAATTTCCTGGAGCATTAGAATGACATATTTTTAAGCATATACTATACAGGTGCTATAACAGATGCCTTAAATATGGTATCTCATTTAATCTTCACAGCAGCCTGCAAAGTAGGCATACCATTCCCATCTTACAGGCAAGAAATTGAGATTCAGAGAAGTGACTTGCTTAAGGAAACACTGCCAGTAAAATGGCAAAGCCCAAGTATAACTCAGATGGATCTGACTCTAAAAAATTATGTTGACTCCAGTTCACAACCCAAGCTTCAGCCCATTTAAAGAGCTGAGTTCAATGGCCTGTCCTAAAACTAGGCCTCAGTGTGAGGAAAGCACTTTGTCCCAGTGATTATTATGTTGTCTTCTATGAAAACCCTAAGTCAAAGTAGGATATGTTCAAGCAGGAATAGGTTTTTATGTTGTTTTCCCCAATCCGAAGATTTATAGTTCTGAGTGTCAGACCAAAGCTAAACTGCCAAAGCCTAGCAAGCAAGGTCAAGGCTCAAGGGCAGAGTTTTCTTTGACTACATGATTTTGAATTTCAAGCCCAGCCTCAGGCTACAGGGACATAGTTAACTGTGACATGTCAGGGCTTCCAAGAGGGATCAATGGGCATGGGCACAAATCACTTCTGACAAAGAAAACCCATTGATGCATTCAGTTTAAATTGTTTTTCAACCAGCATTAAAATAAACTTGGGTTTTCCAAAGAGTACTTAGGTCAGAACAGATCTAAAGAATTATGCAGGGGCCTGAAACCTTTAGAAAGATTGGTACAGCCCCAGAAATCTCTAAGTTACTGTAAATTAGTGGCCACAGCCACTGAGTAAAAACACTTGTCAAAGAACTCTGGCCACGTTTGACTGTACCCTCAAATGCCCTCTGCAGCACATCAATTGGCAGATGAATCAGCTTCCTAAGAACTCAGATTTTCTGAGCCTAAAAGAATATGGATTTGTGGATAGAGTCAGAGATTCTTCTAGTTTAAATTGGCAGTTTCTACATTTTCACCTTTCAACCCAGGGGCATCTGGGCATCAGTTTAGGCCTCGCTCAAGGGTAAGGACGTATCTCCAGAAAGTATCTTGGGTGTCCCCTCAAACTCATCCAATTGAGGGACTTTTCAGGGCATTCTGAGCCCTCATTTCCTCCATAATGATCCCATTAAAATGAGGGAGATGTTGCCAGTGAAAATCTGCACATTACAAAGAAAAAAATCTCCAGTGTCACACCTTTCCTGCCCAAGAGCGATTTTTTTAAAATTTCAGAATATTATGGGGGTACAAACGTTTTAGTTACATGAGTTGCTTTTGTACAGTTTGAGTCAAAGTTACAAGTGTGTCCATCACCCATATAGTGTGCATTGTACCCATTAGGTGTGAATTTATTCATCTCCCCTCGTCCCTCCTACCTGCTTGGTTTCTACCACCATATGTGCACATGAGTGTTGATCTATAAGTTTCAATTTAGTAGTGAGTACATGTGGTTTTTGTTCTTCCATTCTTGTGATACTTCACTTGAAAGGATGGTCTCCAGGTTGTTACAAAAGGTATTAGTTCACCATTTTTTATGGCTGAGTAGTAAGTACTCCATGGTATACATACACCACATTTTATTGATCCACTCATGTATTGATGGGCACTTGGGTTGTTTTCACATCTTTGCGTATGTGGATTGTGCTACTTTGAACATTCTAGTGCAAGTGTCTTTTTAATAGAATGTCTTTTTTTCCTTTGGGTAAATACCCAGTAGTGGGATTGCTGGATCAAATGGTAGGTCTACTTTTAGTTCTTTGAGGTATCTCCATGCTACTTTCCATAGAGTTTGTACTAGTTTGCAATCCCACCAGCAGTGTAGGAGTGTTCCTGTCTCTCCACATCCACATCAGCATCTGTTGTTTTTGGACTTTTTGATAAGAGACATTCTCGCTGGAATTAGGTGATATCTCATTGTGATTTCTATTTGTATTTCCCTGATGATTAGAGACATTGAGCATTTTTTCATGTGTTTATTGGCCATTAGTCTATCTTCTTTTGAAAAGCTTCTGTTCATGTCTTTTGCCCACTTTTTAATGGGGTTGTTTGATGTTTTCTTGCTGATTTGCTTGAGTTCTTTGTAAATTCTGGTTACTAGCCCCTTATTGGATGTGTAGCATGCAAATATTTTCTCCCATTCTGTTGGTTGTCTATTTTGCTCTATTGATTTTTTCCTTGGCTGTGCAGAAGCTTTCTAATTTAATCGGGTCCCATTTATTTATTTTTGTTGTTGCTTTGATTGCCTTTGGGGTCTTCTTCATAAATTCTTTGTCTAGGCCAATGTCTATAAGAGTTTTTCAGACCTCTTGTTCTTGAATACTTATAGTTTCATGCCTTAGGTTTAAGTCTATTATTCATCATGAATTAATTTTTGTAAGTGATGAGAGGTGCGTATCCTGTTTCAGTCTTCTACATGTGGCTATTCAGTTTTTCCAGCACCATTTATTGAATAGGGATTCTTTTCCCCAGTATATGTTTTTGTCTGCTTTGTCAAGGATTAGATGGCAATATAATGATGGTTTTATATCTGGGTTCTCTATTCTGTTCCATTAGTCTAGGTCTCTGTTCTTGTGCCACTAGCATGCTATTTTGGTTACTATAGGCTTGTAGTCTGGCAAAGTGATGCCTCCCGATTTGTTCTTTTTGCTTAAGGTTGCTTTGGCTATTTGGCGTCTTTTCCGGTTCCATACAAAGCATAGAATTATTTTGTCTAGATCTGCAAAAAATGACATTGGTGCTTTAAGGTGGATTGTATTGAATCTGTAAATCACTTTGAGTAGTATAGACATTTTAACAATGTTGATTCTGCTGATCCATGAGCATGATAAGTTTTTCCATTTGTTTACATCCTCTGCAATTTCCTTCCTCAGCGTTTCATAGTTCTTTCCCTATAGAGGTCTTTCACCTCCTCGGTTAAATATATTCTTAGGTATTTTATTTTCCTTGTTGCTGCTGTGAGAGCTATTGAGTCTTTGATTTGACTCTCAGCTTGACTGTTGTTGGTATGTAGGAATGCTACTCATTTGAGAGATCTTTTTAAATATATGGTAATAAAGTTAATCTGGCTGCCTCTCCTGGATTCCAGATCTCTCTTCCTTTTGTGAAAAGTGCACCCTCTGGCAAAAAGTAGTAGTCAGGAGTAAATGTTTGTACCTTGGACAGGAGTCATAGCTATTTCTCAATTCAGTGCCCTAAAGGGAAGCTTCCAGAGAGGCGAAGAGTCTTGTGATATCAAGAGAGTACATAAAACCTGCTTAACCATTGTCTTATTCCTTTGCCTTCACCTGAAATGCCCTTGTCTCCTTTGCCTTCACCTGAAATGCCCTTGCCATCCACCCCTACCACCATCCCTCTACCCATCCTTCAAGGCAACTTAAGTTCCTGGCACATATTAGGTGCTCTGTGAATGATAGGTGGGTGAGTAGATGGAAGAAGGGAGGACAAAGGCAGGCGGAGAGGTACATGGCACTCATTCAGGATGGATGCATGCATGGATGCATGATAAAGCGTTCTATATACTCCCTGGTGGGTGAACTTTTGCCTTCCTCATGAATATCTCTCTTGCTCATTTTTTGGTGCCATTTATGTAGTTAGTTCTTCCTTGCATTAGAGCTACGTGCCATATCTCCCCCTGCAAGGAGACACCATCATAATCTTCCCAGCTGCCCAACAGCTCTCATCCTATAATGAGGCAGAACTGGTGCTCCTCGGATAACAGATTCTGACTGCTCAATTTGGGGACGCAGCAGGAACAGCCAACGGGACTAATGATTTCAGGCCAGAGGCCTTAATGGGTAAGATGAGTGTCTGACTCCTTTCTTGTTGATATGTTTTGGCTACAGTGTCACAGCCACAGCTGCCAGCATTGGAGCTGCTGGTGTGCCCCAGGCTGGTCTGGTGACCATGGTGATCGTGCTGAGTGCCGTGGGCCTGCCCGCTGAGGATGTCACCCTGATCATCGCTGTCGACTGGCTCCTGTGAGTTGGAATAAATGCACTTCCTCAGCAGGATGGGCAGGCAGGCAGCCATGCAGACTCTGCAGTCTGTCATCATTGTCCCCTCAGATTGCCTAATGAGCCACCTGTTGCTGCTTTAATTTCCCTCTGATCAGACCTTCTGATAACGTGCTTAAAAATTAACTTCTCATAACTTGGGACAGTGATTTTAAAAAGCCAGTGAGCTGCATCAGCTCGTTATACCTGGTAATGCTCAAGGTTAGGAGCTGGGTGTGGGGTGAGATAAATAAACAGAGAATAATAAGGTGAAGAAGCTGGGCAAGGCCATCCGGGCCTATCCCAGCCCTGGTTCAGCATAGTAGACTCAGAACCACCTGGTTCAAAACAAGTCCATCTTCCCAAGCGTCTTCAGAGCCATCAGGGGCAGTGGCACAGGCAGAGGCTTTGGAGTGAGACTGACCTGGGTTCCAATCCCCTATCCAGTGTCTTACTTGCTTTTTGACCCTAAGCATGTTCCAGAGGGGAAAAAGTCCCTGCACCTGGCTTGGAAGCTGTGCCATGTGGTGCTACTTCAGCAGCTAGGACCCTCCAGGTGGCACCCTTCTTGCAAAGATACCCCACCATCGAGGCAAGATTTGGTTTTTCTTTCTAGTGGTGATGGTAGATTTGTACTTCTCTCCTTTCCTTGGTTCTTCCTGGAACCAGTGCCCTTCACTGCCAAGATACCCAGATGAGTCAAAGGTCCAATCTGAGGTCATGGGATAGACACGAAGACCAGTTCAATGCTTGGCCTTGTTGTGAATAACAGAAGGGCATCCAGAGTGCATGTGTAAGCGCTGCTGGCCTCTTCTGCCCTGCAGGTGTGGTTTTCACAAGATGACCCATGCACACAGTTCCTATCACAAAGCCAGTATCAAAATAGATACTCCCCTCTGCAGTGTGCCTTCCCTACACATCTTCCTGCCACCCACCTCTTCTCCAGGCTGTTTGGGATTTAAGACTGGCTGGTGTCTTGGGGAAATTCATTCCTGGGCTGACCTGTGTTTTCTGACCCCGTGCTCTGTGACATCCCTGCTGGCTTGTTCATAAATAGCGTTATGTAGTTTGGTAAAGCAACAAGTACATCAGGGATATGAACACACACACACACACACACACACACACACACACACATACAGACACTTGGCACATACACCACCCACAAAACATCCCAAGTTCCCTCACCTTAGCCAAAAGAGAACCCACAATGTCATTTGTAATGAACTGGAAAACCCCCAAGACAGAGGTTAGAGATTTACTGAATTCTGAACCTCCTTTAGTCTCTCAAAATATCTGGGAAGACTCTATTTACATTTTTTTGGAAGGAAAGGAGGGGATTTAGGGAGATTTAGGGGAATCATTGCTACTCATTGGAGCATAGACCTGGTGGACCCTGTGTGCTCATTCTGTGCCTTTCCAAACCACCTTCTGCCCCCAGCCTGTGAGGAGCCTGTGGTCCATCAGTCATGAGGACAGCATTTTCTGCATTTACTTAAATCTGGACTGAACATGTCAGGTCCTTTCATCTCTCAAAGGTGAAGGAAAATGAAATCTGGGCCTCCTGTCTGACCCTCCTGTCTCTTCCTCAGGGACCGGTTCAGGACCATGGTCAACGTCCTTGGTGATGCTTTTGGGACGGGCATCGTGGAAAAGCTCTCAAAGAAGGAGCTGGAGCAGATGGATGTTTCATCTGAAGTCAACATCGTGAACCCCTTTGCCTTGGAATCAACAGTCCTCGATAATGAAGACTCAGACACCAAGAAGTCCTATGTCAACGGAGGCTTTGCTGTAGACAAGTCTGACACCATCTCATTCACCCAGACCTCACAGTTCTAGAGCCCCTGGCTTCAGATGACCAGGAATGATGAAGGACATCTCCATGAGGGTCATCTTATAGCGAATTCAAACATTAATTAAGGAAAAGAAAAACACTAATGTCCAGTTGTACATTTGATTTGATAGACCTCCAGATTATTTTCTATATTTGGATTCACAGCCTTTGCTCTCCAGGTTTTGGGATTTGAGGGTGGGATAAGATGAAAGGAAATTGATTAAAAGGAAAGTTGTATTATCTGGTTTTAACAATTCTATGAGACAAAGTTTGGAAGTATATAAAGTAATAATTGTTGGAATTACTAATGGATATGGAAGAGAAATTACTTTCTCATGCACAGACCATTGTTTTGGATTTTTAAAAAAAATATCCTGTCGTTGGTTACAAATTTTTACTCAGGCTTTCTATTGGCATGGATTTCCTTTGTCCTCTCACTTTTTTATAGATTATAATGCATCTAAAAATCTCCTCCCCAGTTAATGTGCCAAATTGTTCATTTTGAACTCATCTTCAGCCAATTTCAGAGAAACTGCTTTGAAAGAAAACAGACCAGCACAGTTCTGCAATAACAGTTTTAAGATGGGCATAGGGTCGGGGGGAAGGGAGAGGGTTCTTTTTTCAATGTACTGTATTGGGACGCTGGTAACTGTTAACCCAGTGTTCAGTATAGAGCTATATATATGTGTGTGTGTATATATATATATTTATTATTTTCATATAATTTGCCAGACAGAGATCAGAATTGAACTGTCAATGTGAAATAAAGAACTCTCGTGTACTTGAATAATAACTACAATTCCAACCCAGGTCTGTTTCAGGGCTTATGAGAATTCCTTTCTCAGGAGCACTACAATGAGAAATCATGTTGTGTGACCCTTTCACATCTGTGTATCATCAGCCCTAAATGAGAGATGTATTATGGTGACACTCCAAGGTAGCATAGCCATTCATTTACAACTTCCAGATTCGAGCTGCCTGGAGGGAATCTATATAAGATTATATACAAAGGTGTTGCTCACAAAAGGATAGAGTGTTCTTTTATCCAACTGGAAGGCTTCATTCTTCCAAGTTCATTCAACCCATTTAAAGAGGCCAGTAATTTGCCACCTTTGCGCTTTTATACCCATCAGGGCCCAAACAACAGTGGCAAGCTACCAACTAAGTTGTATTTTAATATAGATTCCATGGGTTGAACAAGTTACATTGCAGAAAAAAAAAAAAAAGCTGTCCCTACTCTGGATCCTTGCAGAGTAAATCCCACAACATGAGACATTGGTTTCAGTGGTTCAGGGGAGATTATTCTACTCTACTATACTTGTCTCCTCCTCCAGAGAGGAATGTTCTAACTATTAATGGTAATCTTGGCCCTACTCATTAAAACCCTCTGCTTGTCATTCTCCTGCTAATTTATGAAGATAGCTTATTAAAGTCTGTGCTTCAGTTTTCATCTTGTAAATAATGCTTAATATAAACTTGTACTTACCCTGAGATCCAAAATAGTCATGTTTCTACAGTATTGTGTAGCCAACTTAAACCTGTGCTTTTGTATTTAAGAAACCAGAAATTGTGCCAAAGATAGCAGAAAAGTAAATAAATGCTCAGTATTGACCACCTGCACCTGAAATCTACAACAGAATGATACTGAATTGTCATGTAACATCATAAATAGTGAGCAGTGATTCAATGTGAATTTTAAAATGCAGATATTGGTATTATTTATAGGAAATAAATCTAAATATTAATGAAGTTGAATCAGTAATTTCTCTTGAGCTGAATGATTTTACCCCCATATCAGGTTGCTCCAGTTAGTGGCACTGGAGTTGGCAGAGCTGTTCATGAACTGCAGGTCATCCTTATTTTGGAGTCAGTTTGTAACCAGCCTCTTAACACTGTATGCTGTTAACTCATAAAAGAGAACAATGTTCCGTTTCAGTCTCAATAAACATTTCCCTCATTCTTTCTTCCTCTCCTTTCTCTCCCTCTTATCTGTTCTTTTATTGGACTTAACTTGGACGAGTGTGGGAAGGCAGAAATACGGTCGGTTGAATCAGATTGAATACGAATTATTGTTTTTAAAACTTTATACCTCAAGAATAAAAAAGCAAATCTGATTCCTGATGTTAACCAGAGAGAATTACAAGGCTGAAATACAGTGCCATTATGAAGAGTTGTGCCCGTATTTTGTGACTTGAGATGAAAGTAGAATTTTGTTAGAAATTACTATAATAGGAGATGATCTTATCTCAGTATGACAGTGACCTGGTTTCACTGAAGGACCAATCCTGTCCTCTGAAATAGGGCTACAAACTACAAATGGCTGTATTCAGAGTGCTCCTTAAAGGGATGGCACAGTCTTGCCTGGGATACTTGAGTCATGAGGACGTCCTGTGGGGCACAGTGGACTCACTTGTTGTGACACATGACAAAGGAATGGATAGTTCCCTGTTCCCCACCAAGAGGATAGTACCTCCTCAAAAAAATGCTTACCACTACCTGGCCAAAGCAATACAGGGTAGTTTCCTTCGTTTACAACATGGGAGAAAATACCCAACACAACTCCTTAGAAAAAGAAAGATTTGTTTGGAAGAGTTGGTGCACCTGAGTAGGAGGCCTCCCTGTGATTTTGATCTTGCCCAGAGTACACTCGTGGACAGGGGAATGGTGTCATCAGCTCTGGCAAATGACTTTATTTTTTTCAACAAATCTTTATGAGCCCACTGAGTACATGGCCCTTTATTAAAACACACCCCCTGTTCTTAGAATAGCCATGGGAAACATGTTTGGCTTATGATCAGGTAGTGGGCCAGCAACAATCTGGCTTTGCATGGGTTTAAGAATCTTCCTTTCTAAAGCAGAAAGAGGAAACAGTCCTGCACAACCTTGGCAGAATGCTAGAAGATTCTGTGTGACAGGATTGAAATTCTGTACTCTCTAGCTGCTCAGCAAGGGACCATAGAACACATTGATCGAGCACACAGCTCTGATTTCTTTTCAGATTTGTGAGCTTTGCCAATAATCTAAGCCTTCTCTTCCATGAAATGGGGATAATAATTCTTGCCTCATGAGATACTGCTTTAAGTATTAAATGAGAAAATGCATGGAATGCATTTAGCAGAGACCCTGTCATATAACATGGTTAATAAATGCTAGTGCCTCCCCCCCAACAAAAAAAAACTACAACCTCCTCCCTGCCCCATTTATTTACGTGGGTAATCCACAGAGATGCCATTCCAGTGTTTTAGGACCCATGTCACTACATGATTAAGGACTGTAGCTCCTACCACGTGGTGCTAGCTGGGTTATTAGAGCAAACAGTACGTCCAACCTAGTGAGACTTCATAAACAACCCTCAGTCTATAAAGGGGACATTTATAGACTTTCCAGAGATGGGACATTTTAATCTACAGAGTATAAGACTTAGAATTTCTTCTGTAAAGTATCATGTAGGAAGTAAATAAATATAAGTGTTCGCAATCTTTCTTTCTGTGGTCTGAGACATAGAGAGGGGTTTGAGATGCTCTGGCTGTGTGTGTGAGGCTGAGATGTACATTCACGTAACACTCCTTCAAACATCCTGAAAATTAGAGTATGGCATGAAGTTCATTTTTGCAATCTTGGCCTATAAACCTCATGTGACTCCTCAAAAACTGTCCTTCCCACCAGCCAGAAGTAGACTTTATTCTGGGCCCCAACTGGGGCTTTTTAATACACCCTGTCATAGGAAATGCGCCTCCCTTCCCTGCAATCTTAGGCTTTTTAAGTAAAAGCTCGTTTATAAACAAGAAGTTGGCTTTGCCAAATTAGCTTTGGGAACAATACATTGGTCCATATATATGGAATTGGGTGCTGCACACCTAAGTGTATGAAGTTATTGATTCTCAATGGCCAAGGCTACAGAGGGCCACAAAACTCCTAAGCAAGCAGTGAGATCTATCCACACAATTGCCCATTTCTCCCCTCCCTAGGACAAACCACTGCCATATATGAGTTGGAGGACATTTCTGCAGAATTAGGGAGACACTTCTGGTTTCAACTACAAACCTCCACTTGGTCTGCCACTTTTAAGGTATCACAAAATTCAGAACAGTTCTGAGTCAAAACAAGTTAAAAATCCATTTGTTATTCTGGTTGGAGAAAATGGGGAAAGAACACTTCTAGAGAAGTTTTGCTGGTTTCTAGGTCTCCACAGCCTGGAGCTGGGGAGCTCTGGCCCTCTTGGGATAGCACTAGGATATTACATAGAAGCTCGCCTTGAGAAAGTACCATTTGGCAGAAAGCGGAGACAAAGAACCCTGGAACTAAAACAGAATCAACCAAACTCCTGAACAGTAGTGTTTGGATTCCTCCAAGAAGCTGTGTTTTCTGGACAAACTGCAAGGCTCTGGTAGCTGCCATTCCTCCATGATCTGGGAAAGCCATTAGCAAGTGTTAGGAGGATGTCACATTTTTCCACTTAAGGGCGTCTGAGGGAATGCAAAGCAGGGTTGCATCATCTGGGCATTTCAGGGTCAAGAGTTTGGCCCACAGGGGAAGGCATGAAGAGTCTGAGGATCTGATACTAACCAGAATTTGCTGTTTATCTTGTCCACGCTCTGTGGGAAGGTACATTTTCCAAGGAGAAGTTAAGACAGATTGAAATGAATTGAGTCATTCGGGCAGGGCAGTCGCTGGAGAAAAGGCACCACTCGGTCCATATTAGGGACACACCTTCACAAAGTGCTGAAGGCATGCACATTTTAAAGATGACTTTGATCCTCCTCCAAGCATTCAAGAGTAACTTTCATCTAAGGAGCCCTTGTGTTGTGTTTCCAAGGTTATCAGCTTAGCTTGGCAAGAATAATAAAAGGCTGGCCAAAAGGTTTGTCTGAGCTAAGGACTCAGGAAAAAATAAAATAAAAAAGGTTCTCTAAAAATGAATCTGAGGATAACAAAATGCCCAGGTCTTTAGGAAACTGGGTGGGTCTGACAGGTGTCAGAGAAGTGCCAGTGTGTAAACTCATGTTATGAATAAAAGCAATGGCAGTCAGCAACAGGGACACTGGCAGATCTTAACATCTGCTTTTGTCTTCCCAGCATGCCAAACTGGCTTTAACTCCCAGGGCTTCGGAGCTAATCCCCCACTTCCTAATTTAGCAAGAAAGGTTATGATAGACAAGGATGTGTCAGCTTCCCATTAATCACACACAAACCCACAGCTCTCTGCTCCTTTGCGTGGGGTCAGTTAAGTTAGAAAAACACGCCACCTGCAGTTGATGAAAAAAGTAGACATGCAAACAACAAAGCAGACTCAGGCTGCAAGGATATTTAGTCTGCTTTTTCTTGCCACTAAGGAAAAGTTTGCTCCTGTATCACTGCAGGCAGAAAAATCACCTACCCTATTCTTGGGCATCATTACTGTTCATAAAGATGACACTCTAAGCCAAATAAAGATCCAGTTTCTTTTAAGATGTTGATTCCCTGCCAGGATGAGTACAGGAGGGGATATCCAGATTTCAGAAGGAAAAACAGCAACAACACCACAGAGGAAAATCATTTTTATTTATTTGGCAAATGCTGGCATTGCAGTTACCATGTGGCAAACACTGTTCTTGCTTAACATTAAGTCATTTAATCTCCTGACAGCATCATGAAGTGGGTACTATGATTATACCCTTTCTACAGATGAGGAAACTGGCATTAAATGTTAAGCAACATGCCTAAAGATCACACAACAAATAGGTGGCACAATGATCTGGCTTCAGTGTCAGTGTTCTTCACCAGGCATTGTAAGGCAGAGGGAGTTAGAAGTGCTAGAATATTACTTCTAACTCAAGTCTGGGCTGGCCTAAAATTTTCATGTCAGATAAGAATCACTGCAGAGATCTATTGTACAGCATAGCACCTATAGTTAATATTGCATTGGATACTTAAAAATTGCCTAAGAGGATCGCTCTCATGTTAAATGTTCTTATAATACCCCCAGAAATAATAAAGAAAGAAAGAAGGTGAAAGAAAATTTTTGGAGGTGATGGATAGGTTTATGGCACAGACTCTGGTGGTCCTTTCACAGGTGTATACTTATCTCCAAACTCACCAAGTTGTACATATTAAATCTGCAGAGCTTTTTGTATGTCAACCATACCTCAATAAAATGGTTTAAGAAAAAAAGAATCATTGTTAACACCAAGTGCTAAGCATGTGTTGGCACTGTACTAAGCATTAATATTTTACATGCATAATCTCATGTATTCTTTTCAACAGTCCTATTAGGCAAGGTAATATTACCCTCTGTCTCCCAGATGTGCAAACTATGGCTTAACAAGTTTAAGCAACTTGCCAAGTTCACAGCTGGGATTCAAACATGATTCCAAAGTCTTACTCTAACTATTAAGATATGGTGTTTCCACAACCCAAGTGCCTGTCAATCCATGAGTGGATTATTAAAATCTGGTATATGTTTACAATGGAATATTACTCAATCATAAGAAACAACAGTGATCTAGCACCTCTTATACTTTCCTGGATTAAACTTAAGCCCATTATCCAAAGTGAGGCACCACAAGAGCAGAAGAATGGGATCCATTTGTACTCGCCATCGAATTGGTACTAACTGATCAACACTAGGGTGATCACATGGCAGAAATACTCTCTAGGGATTAGGGGGATGAGGGGGGCAAATCTACAGCTAAAGGACACGGGGAGCACTAAAGGGAGGGAAGGGCATGCCTTTAACCCACACTTGGGTGAGGCAAAGACATAAAGTGTAA